GAGAACTGGATAACAGAACTGAAGAAACAGCCAATTGCAACACAAAGAAAAAAGGAGATGAATGGAAATAATAAAGCATTTTTCAGTAGAAGATGAATGAGTGAATAAATTAAGCTATACACATACAGGCACACATGCAACTGCACAGTCACCTCTCTACATATGTGTAAATATACACATTGGAATACAAAGAAACCATTAAAAAATGTCTGTAGAATATTGTTAAGTTTTTAAAAGCAAGTTGTCCAGCTCATAGAGATGTGATCTTGTTTTATAAAATTATATAAATGTATGGGGCTTAGAGATATGAGTGTGTGAACTTTGGCTATCTGTGGATGATGAAATTTGAGGTGATTTTTTACTTTCTTCTCTGTGTTTTTTGGTATAGTTTGAATTGTTTAGAAGAATATATCCCACATTGACAAAAACAATAAAGCTATTTTTACATAAAATATTTTAAAAGAGGGAGGATGGAAAATACGAGTAGATAATGGACATTGAGGGTGGACTACAAAGGTGTAACACTTGGAGTTCCAGGAGAGAGTAAAGAGAATGATATTCAAGGAAATGATGATAATTATTAAGAATACTCCAGAACATATGAGACAGAATTTCACACACACTGTGAGCACAGTGCTTAATGACTGAGATAAAGAAATTGATTCTTGGAGATATTGTGATGAAACTTAAAAACACCAAGGCAAAGACAAGATCTGAAAAGCAACCAGAAAGAAAAGGCAATTCAGAAACAGAAGTTATAATCAAGAGACTTACAGCAGACTTCTTATAAACACCATTGCAAGATAGAAAATATTGGAATAATAAATATACTCAAAATATTGTGAGAAAGTATTTGTCTCTTTAGAATTGTGTAACCTTCTTGGGATACCTTTTGAAAATGAGGGTGCAATAAATATATGTTCAGAATTGAGACTTTATTCCCAATAAATCTTGACTAAATGAAATTCTAAGGAATCATGAGAATGAAATTTTTAAAAAAAATCTTAAATATAAGAAATTGTTTTCTGTGCAGAATAATAATTTTATAATAAATAAACTCCTGGAGGAGAGCAATTAGATTTAGTGTTCCAAAGCTATTATAATTGTTTGGGAGGAATGTTAAGATAATAAACTTCCAAGTTGTTAAATATGCATGATAAAATATCATGGGTGACCCATGAGAGAATAGAAATACAGTATACAACTTCCAAACCAATAAAGTGAGGAAACTGAATTGTAAAACCAACATCAGTAGTTAGTCAACTAAAAAAAGAGGCACGAGAAAACAGAAAGTAAAATAAGCAAGACAGATTGAAAGCATGAAGTCCAAATATCACACAGTATATAACACAATATATAATTACAATAAATACAAATGTATTAAACTTGCCAGTTAAAAGATAGAGATTTTTATATTGACTAAAATAAAATCTAGCCATACGTCATTTAAAGAGACACAGTAAAATAATAAAGACGTAGCTGAGAGTAAAAGGATGGGGAAAGAGCTATCAGGGAAATACTACAGAAATACAGAAAAGCTTAGGTAGCTTTACTAATATTAAACAAAATAGGCTGTAAGGCACAAAGCTTTATTAGTAATGAAGAGGACCACTTCATACTGATAAATGGTTCTGTTTTACCAGATTTAATAGTTATGCACTTATATTTACTAATAAAATAACCTAAAATTTATAAATATAAAAATAATGACCCTAAGGGATATATTGACAAATCCACCACCAAAGCAAGAGATTTTGACATAGCTTTCTAATTATTGTTAAGACAAGCAGATAAAATGTCAATAACAATTAATTTGTCCTGTTAGTGGTGATGTTAACATCGATTGCTTGATTAAGGTGTCCTCTGCCAAGTTTCTCCAACATAAAGTTCCTGTTTTTCCCTTTGTAATTAATAAGTATCTTGAGGGAATATACTTTGAGACTACAAAAACATCCAGTCTTCCATTATACTTTTATCTGCTGATTTTACCATCCATTGATAATTTTTGCCTCCAGCAGTTACTACTGTGGTATTTGACAAATGGTGATTATCTAATTCCATTATTCCTTCACAGCTATTAGTTGGAATTCTACTGTGAAGCAGAGCTTTACCTTATCCCCCACTTACATATTCATTAAAAAATTTGTATCATTATGGGTGCCTCTTTAATTCTATGGGTGATAATCCATTGCTGTCATTATTTATTTTGTTGCTTAAATTATCCCAGTATTGGTCATTGGGAGCCCCTTCACATCAGCTCCTGTGTCTTTTTGGTATGTCTCCACAGGTTTTTGAGTATGTACTTGATTTCCAGCACCACTGAAGGATGATGAGATAGTTGTGATGTATTTATTTATTCATTTCTAGAGAGTTCCATAATTTTTTGTTTTGTTCTTTCTTAGCATGGTTGGAAATAAATGATGAGTGATAATGGGATGATGCCTAGGATGATGAAATAGCAAAATGTTTCAAGATACAGGGGAAGATCACTAAGGTCATATAATGTATCTTAAATTGATAAGATGATCCATGTACCTAAATGAAAACAGTAAGAGAATGAGTGAGTTTTATCCTGTTAAAAAATAATAATTTTTCTCTTTGGAAGACCTCTAAGAATCGATAAAAGTCATGAAATATCAATTCTTACATATAGTTAGAACTGCTCAGTACCGAAGCTAAAAACTAAAATTGGATTAAAAAGGTTAAGAAGTTTCATTCAAATAGTGAATAAAGAGAATACGAAATATGGGCAAGACCCCTCTTCCTTAAGCCTGACAATGCTCTAGAAGCGAAACTGATCTCTTAATTTTTTCCCTTTGTTTCCTCGGAGATCATGCTGAGTTTCAAAGGAGTATGCAAATCTGATGAGCTGGGAACTGTTAGCAAGTTTGTTAAGCGGAATGGAAAGAGAACTAGACCAGGAGTCCAAGAACTATGGATCTCATTCAGGCTTGGACACTAACTAGTTGTGTTTCTTTGTTCTGAGCAATCCTGCAAACTCTGATGTAGTGGAGAGAGCGGTGGACTGACTCAGAGCCACAACAAGAACCTGCTTCATCAGACTCTTAACCTCCCATCCTCTCAACTTTCTCATCTTTAGTAGAGATAATAAAATCCTGCCATTAGGGTTGTTGCGAATATTTAATGAATTACTAGACACTGGAAGACCCTGGGCGGCTGGAACTGCTAGTCATTTTTGCCTGTCCTATATCTAAAAGTATCTGAGTGTTGCTTGAATAAATGAATACATTACATTAAGTGTGTGTATAAATTATACATTTAAAATGTTATGCAATTACAAGGTCATTGTGTTTATGCTTAGCATGGTTGGAAATAAATGATGAGTGATAATGGGATGATGCCTAGGATGATGAAATAGCAAAATGTTTCAAGATACAGGGGAAGATCACTAAGGTCATATAATGTATCTTAAATTGATAAGATGATCCATGTACCTAAAGTTGAGCATCCGACTCTGTGATTTCCACTCAGGTCATGATCTCAGGGTCCTGGGATCGAGCCCTGCATCAGACTCCATGTTCAGTGTGAAGTCTGCTTAAGATTTTCCCTCTCTTGGGACTCTGGAGAGGCTCAATCAGTTAGGCATCTGCTTTTGGCTCAGGTCATGATCCCAGGGTCCTGGGATTGAGTCCTGCATCCTGTGTAGGGCTCCTTGCCCAGTGGGGAGCCGGCTTCTCCCTCTGCCTGGCACTCCCCCTGCTTGTGCGTGTGAGTTCTTGCTCTCTCTCTCTCTGACAAATAAATAAATAAAATCTTTAAAAAAAAAAAAGATTGTCCCTCTCCCTCTGCCCCTCACCCCCTTGCCCTAAATAAATAAATAAATAAAATCTTTAAAAAAAACCTTCAGGAAAAGAAGGCTCCTTCAACACAGGCTCATTGTTTTATCAAATCAAGGAAAAATAAAGCTTTGGAATAATCTAGAACTTGATATTTAAAATTGTAGCTCTATCCTCATTAGCCTTATCTGTGACTATTAAAATGGCAGAAAATAACAAATCAGTTTATCATTGTGTTTACTTTAAACTGACTGTTGGCTCATAAGTTCAGAAATTTTCATTGTCAGGCTATAAATTTTATAGAGTAAAATATCTTTGTGTATTCTTTGAGCTTTCATAGTCCAAAAATATTTGTTTGGATTTCTCTCTTTAATATCAATAAAAATTTTTACATTTCTTTGCCTGTATTTTCTCTTTTTCTTCAACTCATTTCTTACAAATTTTCTGAGATATTAACTTGAGTAATTTTTTAAACTATTAGTCTCTGCCATTTTAATAGAGTCTCCATTTCCTTTATAAGGAAACCAAGGGTCTTAAGAAATCCTTGAGAGACCAGTTTGAAAGATAGGTCTTTTCCGTTTGCTGAGCTGGGTAGCCTACCCAGCAAAAGGAAAGAAATCTAACTTGGATTTACACATGAAATTTGTTTAACTCACTGACTAGTTTGTTCAAAGTCATTGCTCAGTTTAGGATCTAACTATAAATTAAGTGAATGCTTACTGATTCCAGCACCCTTTCAAGTTCCACTGTGAAGGTACTTATGCCTCTGACAGAGAAACTAGGATAAAGTTCGATGACTATCAGTTTGTTCTATGATTTACTCCTTTTGATATTGGCCAGTTTGGACAATGAGGAAATATTTTCTACAACCTCCATGTATTGTTTGTATGTATGTGCCACTCTGTCCTTCCATCTCTGTTTGACTCTCTCACTGGTTGGCAGGTTCACTCAAGGTAAGAACTACATTTCAGTTTGCATAACCTTGAGGTAAAAATAGCATAGAAGAAATTCCTGAATTCCAGGAGAGTCTGGACTGTGTACTATTTGAGGGTCTCTTGCAATGCTTCAAATTCTATACTTTGCTTATAGGCCAGCAAACACAGAGAACAAATATTACTACCATGGTACTTCCATAATACTTGGCCATTGGTTGGCTTCCTATCACCCATCTCACCGATCCCCGTCTGTTGTCTGCTCCCTTAGATTTTTATTAACAACGAGTGGCAGAACTCAGAGAGCGGGAGAGCGTTCCCTGTCTATAATCCAGCCACAGGAGAGCAGGTGTGTGAAGTCCAAGAAGCAGACAAGGTATGTCCTTTTTAGCAAAATGTTCCCTATGAAATAACTGCCTTCAGACAACGGAGCACTAAGCTTATGCTCTCTAGACACCAGCACTGACGTTCGTTCATCACCTTTTCCCTGAAAGCAGGTGGTTCTTCCTTTATTTGGAGCGTGGTGTCTCCTCAGTTGTGCCTCTTCCTCTCTCTCAAACAGGCAGACATAGACAAAGCAGTGCAGGCGGCCCGCCTGGCTTTCTCTCTTGGTTCAGTGTGGAGAAGGATGGATGCTTCTGAAAGAGGCCGTCTGTTGGAGAAGCTTGCAGACTTGGTGGAACGAGACAGGGCAGTTCTTGCAGTAAGTAGCCTAAAAAAAACACATTAAGTCTTTACTCTAAATTTACCATTCCACTGAAATGCAGATTCCTTAGTCTTTCTGAAAATGTGATGTGAAGCCGACCTGGGGAACAAGGTGAGAAGTCCATAATACACAGGAAAAATGAGAGGGGTAAGCTTTTGGGATCAGATGGGGAAGTGCAAGACCAGCTGAGTGTCTCTTCTTACTGAATTTTGAAGAACAAAACCATAGCTGCCCATGACTGGTAAGGACCTCCCTGCCTTCCTTCCCAACCGTATCCCACCCTTGACAAAAAACACAAAACAAAAACAGTTAAGCAGCAGGAAAGTCACCATGAAGCCTGTGGAAAAGCAATCCCAAATGATTCATTTGAGAATCAAATACGATTTTTTTTTTTTCACCTCCCCAGAGTTAACCTCTCCTGACTAAATAGAGTCCTTCAGAAGCAGAGGGCCTCTCATACACGTCTGCTCCCTTTGTTCTTCTGCCACTTTCTAGAACCAGTAAAAAGGAGAGCTAGCCCGGGACAGCAAACGTTCTTTCACTAAAGTGTTTTCTCACCTAAGGAACTTCCTCTCTCTTAGTGGTTTCTGTGTTTGTTTGTTTTTGCTCTTTTTAAAATCAAAGTTGATTTCTTAGAGAATATAAACTGCCTGGAAACCAGAACCATTTGGGACTGTCTGTCGTACACCAGGGATCTCCACCTCGATCACCCACAGGCGATCCATTAATGTTGAGGACGTCCTTGTTCAGTCAGGCATTTGAATCATGAACGCTGTATCCTCCCCTCTGCACAGAAGCAGGACACAATTGGGCTTGCTCTGGGCTTGGGGAGCACGAGTGTCCTTCCTCACTGTCCCGTCCACTGTGGCTCTTCCCTCCAACCGTCCCCTTCAGGGATCTGTTCCCAGGATGGGAACACAAATGAATCGCGGAACTCTGACCGTATGTAACATTTACTTTTCTATAAAAACATTTTCTAATCTGGTACTTGAAGGAAAGTAGGAAAGGGTACTTCAAGGAAAGGAAGTTTACGCGTTTTGTGAAAAAGGCGTTCCATGGTGACGTAGCTCCTTCTCAGATATTCCCAAGACACCAAGCATATGAGAGACCCTGAAAAGCCCTGTTCGGTCTTTCTCAAACTTAAGCCTCAACATTATTTTTTGTCTAATCTGTCAATATTGTGCAAAACTGAATTCTTCGGAACACTTGGGGGGAATGCCGGTCTAGATGCTTATCTTTTCACTGGATTATAATTTCTTTGCGAGTGAAAACTGTATTTTACTTCTTTTTTTGTGATCCCAGCACAGTTCCTTGCACATAAACGGTTGGGGGGGAGGGGAGCACATTGATGGTCTGTAAGTGTCTGTTTCATTGAGTGAAATCTACACAATATTTACAACATTCCACTAACAGTGTGTACTAGATAATGATATAGTCCATTTCTGCAGTTATATTTTCATGTCATAAAATTCAAATGCCATCCTTTTTCTGACATTCTGTCTCACTGTGATCCATTCCTTTTTGTCCTTACACCTAAATGAGATTTCTCCTTTTAAACACTCCCGAGCCATAGGAGGAGTAAGTTTTAACAAGAGATAGCCTCTGGAATATAGAGGAGCTCCTGACCAGAGAGCAAAGTTAATACCTCATCCAAGTACACATAATTAATTGAAAATAAACACAGGTGAATTTGGCCGGTGTCAGCAGCTCATTGGGACCATATAGGTGGCCCAGATTCTGGTTATTGACTCTGCTTCACTCAGTGCTGTGTAGACTTTGGCCGTGTGCTGGCTGCATGGAGAATGTAGTGCCCATCTCACGAGTATATAAACATCCTAAAAAGTATGGGGAGATAATTTGATTCCCTTTAATAAAGAAGAACCAATATACAGTGATAAACAATGTGATCTTTTAAAATGAGTCCCATCTTCTACACAGAGTGGGTAAATTGCACCATAAGTAATTGTATTTTTATGTCATCGAATGGAGAATATTTTCATTTTACTTTTGTCAGCACTCAAGTCGTTCTTACACCAGTATGTTATAAAATGTGCTTATAGAGAAGGACGTGAGATTATAAACATATGTATTTGCTTATTTAATTTGTTAAACTTGTAACACCTTTGATATTTCTCAAGTTGAAATACTCGTTTCTCATTTCAGTGTGTCCATTTGGATTTTTTAGTTGTTGCTACAGATTTAAGCAGTTTACAGAATATGTCATTCAAACAGTAACATTTATAATCTAGAACTGCTCAATATGTCTATTTTTATTAAATGGACCAGATACTTCCCTATTAATAGGTAATGGTTGTTAACATAAATATTTACAAAAAACCAGCCCTGAAGTTGTTAAAGTGTGAGCTTCCCTAGAAGAGATCTTGTTTATTTGATGGTAATAAATAAACTCGCTGTGCACTGTGGATATTCCATTTCTCAGCAGGGGTCTTAGCAGCAGTGGAAAACGTTTAATATTCTCGTCAGTCGCATAAAAGCCCATGTCCCCGCTTCTCTTTATGGATTCAGACTCCAAAAAATCCCCACGCAGCTCTGATCATTAATATAACAGAAGCTGGTTTGACAGGCAGAACATTTCTTTATCATCAGTTGAAGAAATGTCATGTTTATGTGTTATTGCGGTAGTGGTTCCTGGAGATACCCAGGCACAAGAACATGCGCATGAGTAGTCATCGTGGCTTTACTAGAAGCTAAACTAAACTGGCGGTGCTAAAAATCTATTTATTGGGGAAGTCAGAGTTGACCAGGTGTGCATCATTATTCATATTCATTCATAGCCTCTCTCTTCCTTTTTTTCTTCTGCTCCAGAAATTATTTAGTATATCACTAGAAAGCTCTCTTCATTTCTTTTCCTACAGACCATGGAATCCCTAAATGGTGGCAAACCGTTCCTGCAAGCTTTTTACGTGGATTTGCAGGGGGTCATCAAAACCCTTCGGTATTACGCAGGCTGGGCTGATAAAATTCACGGGATGACCATTCCTGTAGGTACGTGAAATTCGAGTACGTTGAAAGGGAAACGTGAAGCTCCACCAGAAACACACTTTCACCATCAAACACAAACGGCAGTCACAGAGCAGACGGGAGCACACTCACAGCAGCTGGAACTGAAGAGCCGAACAGAGCACATCACTAACTCTGACAGCATCCCTGTTTCTGTATGTGGACAGTCCCCACATAAGTGCAGTGGCAAGCCACATCCATGCAGCACTCAGCTAAGGCGCAGGTGGGCTTGTCAGCCGCTAAGTGCTCAGCACTGCGCTCCGTCAGGTGCTGGGGGTGCGGACAGGTGTCGGACGTAGGGAAGTCAGGGAAGATTCCCCAAGCGTTAAAGACCTGGACCTTCCCCTCCTGAAACATGAGATCTATGTGTTTGGAAGAAAGTACTCTAAAATGTTAACAACTGTCTCTTAGTGGTGAGCTGGTGGATAATTTATTTCTCTTTTTTATACTTGGCTGTATTTTCTATAATGAGCATGAATTACTTTCACAGTCTGTAAAAACAGCAACCATCCTTTTAAGATCCAGGTTAGGGGACAACACCCACAACAGAAACAAAGACCTCTATGGGAGAGTTACAACGAGCTGCTGAGTCGTGTGGCTTGGCCTTCAGCGCTGTAGTCCTGTAAAGGGGAGGGAGGTGTCCACGCTGAGTCCGTCAGTGGACAGGTCCCGACCTGCGCAGTGCGTGCCAGCGATGACCAATACCAGACCGAGGCTTCACAGCAACCCCAATGGGGAAGGCAGTGTGTTAGCATCCTCATTGACAGAGGAAGAAACTGAGGCCTAGTGAAGCTAAGTAGTTTCCCTAAGTCGCCGGCAAGTAAGTTGTAGAGCCAAAATTCTGACGTTAGAGTCCGGCGAATCACTGCACTAGCGGATCCATTTTAGATTCTGGGAGGAAGATACCAGGAGACGAAAGGGAGCGGCTGAAGGAGACAGGAGGATGTCGGTAGCGGTGAACAGACGGAAGGAAAGGAAACGCGTGTTCCTTGAGGGCCTCCCTGTGGCTGCAAAGTGCTGTGCCAGGTACTCTACCTTTGTGCTCCGGAGACAGCCGGCTCTCCACGGGCACGCTAGGAGCGGAAAGTAGGGCTGGGCCTTCCTAGGCCAGGTGTTGCTTTACCCGAGAAGGGGCGGCTGGCTGGCGGTGCTGATGGACGGCATGGAGCGGTGCTTCTCAAACTTCGATGCATGTTGTGCGTATCGCTTGGGATCTTCCTCCAGCGCAGTTTCTGCCGGGAGAGACCTGGGGTGGGGCCCGAGGTTCTGCCCTCCTCACCAGCTGCCAGCACCTGTCTGTGCTGGGGCTTCGCTGCCTTGAGCAGTGCGGAGAGGTTCCAGAGACCCGCCCCAGCCGAGTGGCTGTTGGGACCCTTCTTCACTCAGGCATGGGGCCAGAAGAGAAGTCTCAGTGAGAGTAGAGGAGGAACAGAGGTGAGACTTCAAAATTAGCTCCATGAATGACGGCAGCATGCACAACATTAGTCTGTAGGAAATGGGTTTGCAGTCAGAGGCGTTCTTCCTGGCCATCCAGAGGTTTTCCTTGTTCAGCAGACTCAGGATGGAGAAGACTACTTCTCGGGAATGTCAGGCTCTTAGTGCTGTCCTGGCTCTGAGGATTTTACAGAAGCCCTGCTCTCTAGCATCACCGGCGGGATTTAGGAATGGCCTGAGCGGAGCAGGGTTACTGTGTGGTATGAGCATACCTGTTGGAGGGCCTGAGAATGAAAAGCTTTGCTAAAAACAGAACACGTGTCAGCCTTTTTAGGTTGGCTTCTCCTGTGTCAGTGCAGAAAGGTAAATAAAACAAGACCAGGACCAAAGGCCCTGGGTTTTTTGGCACCCCCCCCCCCCCGCCATTTCACTATTATTAAAACAAATATGTTTTGGGCATTTAAATATCTTTTCTTATGATTTATAAACATCTTGAGAAATAAGATGAAATAGAAGGCTGGACACATAGGTTTGGTTTGGCCTAACCATGTCTTAGTGTTTTTTGCTTTCTTAGAGGAGAGAAGACCCTGATTCGATAAAGATTTCCTGGAGTCTCTGATGTTAGATGCTTATTTTACTTTATCTGGCAAGGGGTGGTTGGTGCACAGACCTCACTGTTTTCATCTGATGCTCTTTGGAGATCCTGAGGACGTTGACATAGGAGTTAAAAGCACAGGGCTTGGAAAAGGCTGTCATGGGAGTCTCTCACCTTTACGCACAAACCAGTGTGCAGCCCGTGAAGGAGAAAAGTGCGGCACTCTCTTAAATCCTAAGTAATGTTTAGTTTCCCTAATTTTTCTTGAAGTGCATTTAGAGGGATACCAGGTGAGGGACGCTCCAGAGAGTCAGGAGGCTAGGCAGTGCTCCTCGGAGGCTGGGGATTTGAAATGGAAGAGCTCTCGCTGTGGTGCCTCCCACAGATGAGGGAAGGCTGGAGGCAGACGTGAACTTGGCAGCTTTCCTCTCTGTTCCAGGTGTAGGTACAGTTGCTCTTGCCCGTAGGCTACTGAGAATTCAGCTCCTCTGCCCCTCTGGCTAGTTCAGTGCTTAGGGACTCTAGCTGCACTGAACCGGGGGGAGGGGGGATAGGCAAAGGTCAAGGAAAGGGGGAGTCATTATTATTCACTTATTTATTCTCAAATATGTTCAGTCAGTCCCTTTGTGTTTGTCATTTGTAACTCCGTAACATAACATCAGCTTCATTTTGTCCCTGCATTCTTGGCTTTTCCCACTGAAATCTGGAATATAAGAAGGTTATTAGTCTTTAATGATGCGGTCTTTATTGTGTTACATACATTTTTTGTGGAATACCCTAATTTTACATTTGGAATTATAATGTAAAGGAATAATGTAGTTTATATTTGCATAGTACTTGATTGTGTAAAATGTTCTTTCACCCACAGGACCTGTGTGATTCTGTGTGTGATCCTGTGAAGCAGGTTGGGTTTTAAAAGGTATTGTACCCATTTTACAGATAAGAAAATGAGACAGCAAGGGTTTAGCATTTTGAACACAGTTACATGGCTAGTAAATGGCAGGCCTGAGATTCAAGCCCAAGTCTCTTTCTGCCTAAGCCATCGTAGACTCTCTTCTTATGGAGACTAGGTCAGCAGGACAAAAAGATGAAGAGGCCAGTCACCCTGGTGAAGTCTTTAATCCTCTGCAGGTTTTTAGATCAATAGACTTTTGATTTCTATTGTTCGTGGCAGTTATGTTCTGTAAAGTTGGCTTGGACACTAAATCAGCAAATACCAAACCGTTGCTTCTAGAGGAAAGACAGGGATGAAAGGTACAGTTCTGTCTGGTCACCCATAAAAAGTAAACTGGAAAGTTTTCTTTTTTAATTTCAAAATATAAGATCACTTTGTTTTCATTGAAGGACAATCTATGGTTCATCCAAGCTTAGTACCCAAAGAGAGTAGGAAGAATGATGCTATTGTCTCTTTCACTCCTTCCCATTTAGGGAGGAGGGCAATCTGCCCTGTAATGGAAAGAGCTCTTCCTTCATCTCCCCTCCCAGGCATCAACTTCAGCCTCTCGGTCATTCACTCTTTCCTTCATGCATTCATTCACTCGACAGGTTTTTTGTTTTGTTGTGTTTTGTTTTTGAGCACCTGCTATGTTTCCTGTCCTGTGTAAAGCACTGGAGATACAAAGGTGAGTAAGTAAGATGGTCAAAGAACAGTAAGGAAAACAAGGTGGACAAGCAATTGCAATATAGTGTGGCTTATTCAGATACGGAAGCACGAAGTTCGATGGGACGCGGTAGGAGAGGCCTCTCACCGGGTATTAAGGCTTCCTGGAGAAGGCAGTGGGATGTACAACATGATCCCTGAAGGGCAATTCAGTGAAGATGGAGGGAGGGCCGTCACAGGTGGGGACAGTAGCCTGTGCAGAGCACGGAGGGAGGATGGTATGATGTGGCGATGGGTCTAACGGCATAGCCGGGTGGAGAAGCCGGTGGGGCTCTGGGGCTTGGTAAAGCATGCTACAGGCTGTATTCCAAAGCCGTGGTGAGTCACTGAAGTCTTTTAAATAGACAAATGCCTTGATCAAAATTGCATTTTACAGAGAGCACTTTGATTGTATAATCGATACTTAGAGCAAGGACCTGCTCTTTCCCCCTCCCCTGAACTGTAGCCTCCTTTTAGAATATTTGAGACGAAGAGAGACAGGTTATGGCATGAGCACTTTGAACCTTCCGCTGCGCAGCTGTTTCTCCCTCTGAATTGAGAGCCTCTCCCAGCCTTCCGCATTCCCTCTCCCACAAGGCCCACGTCAGACACGATCACGGAGTCATGTAATATCAGTGTGATTCACAAGGGTCTCGATGTTCACTTGACAACACTGGTTTTTATTTCCTGCCATGCTATTCAATGGAGCTATTTTTTCTGACCCTAAATCCTACGCTTTGACCCTTTTACTATGGCACCTCTTAATTATGCTGATAAATAATAATCATTACTGTGATTTATTGATCACTTTGTGCCCATTATAGTATCTCTTATCTCATAGCAGCCCTGCAGAGGGAATATTATTTTCCCCATTTTGATTATTTTTAACCTATATCAAGATCCTCTGCTTCTTCTCGTGTCCACAGACTCCTTGGGATGGAGGAAGGATCCAAGCTTGTTTAGAGTTTGCTGAGGGAGAAATGGAGGTTAATCGATTAGCGTGACTTAAGGTTTTTCTCTGTAACAAGTGTTGATTTTAATGATTTTGTGATATGTAAGCAGGGAAAATGTCCATGCTTTAAGCTGAATTCTGACATGAAAATGGCCTTATGATACATTAGCATATAGCAAAGGCTAAAAAGTCTACCCAGATCATGTGTAATTATTTATCCACTACACCCCCTTTCAGATTTACCTTTTAAATTAAAGAATAGGCTAAAAACGTGCAGACATTGACTCAAATCATAAGGCGTTGCCTTCGAGAGTTCAATCTGGTTTAGTGTTGTTGACTGAGAGTGTGCATGGTGAGGTCTTTTG